CAAGGTCCGATGCCAAGATTGAATACATCGGTCCACTCCTTCTGGTACGTCCCCCAAAAAAGGCCAAAATTTTGAGTATCCATGAAGTTCGTAAAACGCAAAATTAACATCCGATTCTATTCAGACTTGGAGCTTCTCAATATTTTCATCAACACAAGATCTGTTATAAAGATGGTAGAGATTGGACCATTTTTTTCTGGTACCTCCCCCACAAAGGATCAAAGTTTTGAATAATCAAAACGAATTTTAAATCCAAAATAAGCATCCGGTTCTCTTCATATTTCACACATCCCATTATTTCTACTAACACAAAATCTGCTGTGATGATGGGATGTATGGGTCCACTCCTTCAGGTGCCACCCCCCCCCCCCCCCAAAGGGTCAAAATTTTGAATTCAAATTTCACACATTCAAATATTTCTGCTAGCTAATTTTCAATACTTTTATCTATCATAACTTGCGAAACAAGTCGGCGATTCTTTACAACATGTTATATATAAATATTTCTCTTAACCAGAAACCTGAGATGAATATGGAATTTATCGGAATTTATGGTTTTGTATGTTCGATTTTCTTGTAATTTTGCCCATACCAATATTTTTCTCTGTATTAGATGAAGGGTAAAAATGGAATATTACCCATATTTCCACATTTTCCGAAAAATTTCACATATCTCATATAAAGTATAGGAACTAGTCGATATAGTCCAAATCTGGCAGGTTTTAATATTTATATCGGTCTTCTAGGGCAGATACGAAATGGTCAATATAGTCCAACAGCTTTCCCAACCTTCCCCGTAAAGGGTCAACTCTTTGAATAATCATAACTCAAGCCTGGCGGTATACATCTGTCGGCAAAAGCGATTGATACTATTTTACATATTTAAAAATTATCACATATCTAGTAATAATAGACCATACCTGGGGTGTCGCAATATTTATATCATATTTATTTAGGTCCGATACGAAATGGAAAATATTGGGCCATTCCTTCGGAACCTACTCCATAGAGAAAGAGAATTCAAAATATATTTTTAAATAATGAAACATTGTCTATGCATCGAGGGTATACATGTGTCGGCAAAACAGACTGATACTATTTAATTGGTGTTTAATTTTTTTTTTTCAAATAAACCTCCCAGTATTGGGACTTGGGACTGTCATGTAATATTTCTATTGTAAGAATATAGACCCCCCCTTAAATTCTTGTATATATAATTTTATAAAATTTTTTGACAACGGTATATCACCTTTAGGCACCTCTCCGATAATGACTTAAAACGTTGAACAACCTTAACACGCAAAATAAGTGAATACATACATCCCAAGACCCTTTTTTGTACCTCTTTAAGGGTTTGTCTCAATTTTAAATCCAATCATGAATGGAAAATTGAGTTTTTTGTGAAAAGATGGGCAAATAATGTTACATTTTATATCCCCTCTCCCCTCTTATCCCTAAATCCTGTATATCTTGTTGGCTGACTCACAAGAACTTTGTTCGAAGAAGAAAAAATGACATGAACCATTTATCAAAACAAAAAACAAACAACAACAACAACAACACACCCATAAATTTAAAACCGAATTCTGATAATCTCTACGACCAAACTGCAATCGCTTTCCAGTACGACAGTAGTACTACTCACATATTGACGAATTGAGATATTTGTTTCATGTTTTCGTTTTATTGCTTTTGGCTATTTGATAAGCTCCAAAATAATGCTGGTTTTACTTCTTCCCGCCTCCATCCATTCTTATCGCCACCTATAGTTACTAAATGTGAAACAATGGAACAATTTCATTGTAACAGCGACATTTTTTTATAATTATCAGCATTTACTGTCGTTCATAAAAATTTTCATTCTGATACTATGCCGACCTATGTGGGTATGGCATACCCACAAACATATGACGTTTTATCGCTTAAGTTGTTATAAATTTCCCACAATTATACAGGTATTATTTTTGAATCGCCTGGTTCAATAAGGAGAATACAATTATTATTATTATTTGACATAAATTAAAGATTCGAGTCGATATCACGGGACCTCGAAGAGGATGATGTTAAACAAAAAATTTGAATTCTTTTGCTTTTCTATAGGAAATTGGGGTTGAAATGAGCTTTACACCAAGAAATGGCCATCAAATATTGATCAAGATAATATTGATTCAAACATTTACAGGGTGAGATGAAAAAACTGCAGCCAACTTCAAAATGCTATAATTTCTATGCCACTCCTCCGACAGCTGTTAAAATTATTCCAGTGACAGCTTATTATATTGTTTACAAGCGTACAAAAGCATTTTGGGGGAATTTTCACAGAAAAAAAGTTATTCGTGGTGGAATTAAAGCGTGGCTGGAAACCAAGAAGTGGCTATCGTCAGAGCACTCCAGCATTTAAATGTGAATAAATTTTTTGTGTCTCGTACGACTGCTCGTTACCGTGATACTGGTAGCGTACCACGACTTCAAGGAAATGGACGGAAGAAAACAGCAACATCAGCAGAAATTCGAAAAGTAAAGAAGCGACTTGATCGAAACCCGCGTCGCAGTGGCCAAAAAATGACTCGTGACTTGAATACATCGCAATATTCCATTCGGCAAATATTGAAAAATGAGCTCGGTGTAAAGCCATTGAAATTCCAAAAAGTGCAAGAACTTACACCGCAACAGAAAGAAAATAGACTCAAAAGAGCTAAAGAGTTGTTTCGCTTGGCCGAAAGTGGTGAACTGCCGAATTTGGTTTTCTCCGCCTCTGATGAGAAAATATTCGTTGTCCAGCAGTTTGTAAACAACAACAAAATGATCGTGTTTACTTGCCAAAGAGGTCAGCTGAAAAGGTACACCTACGGTTGGCCACCAGAACTCAAGCGCCGGCCATGGTGATGGTGTGGGACGCCATAACAGCCGATGGTCGCTCTCCGCTCGTATTCATCGACCGTGGCATCAGAATAAATTCCGAATATTATCGCGAAAATATTCTGGAGGGTGTATTAAAGCCTTGGGCACGCAAACATTTTGGCCGCCGACCTTGGACATTCCAACAGGACTCAGCACCATCGCACTCAGCACGCGCCACCCAAGAATGGTTACAAATTGAGGTTCCTCGCTTCATTTCCAGCGCACAATGGACTATTGTGTCTGGAGTATTTTGAACTGCAAGGTTGGCACTAAAAAATACCAAAGTGTCGATCACCTCAAGCAAGCTCTTCGCCGGAAATGGAGTGTGACGGTTTCATTGGCCGTTTGAAGGCCATAATTTGTGCCAAAGGTGACTAATTCGAACAAATCTAAACTTATTCTAAAAGTTGATGCTATTTCCAACATTTTGAGACTTCATTCAATAAAATTTAAAAAAAATGTAAAAATTATCGAGTTTGACCTTGTTGCAGTTTTTTTTAGCTCACCCTTCATATCATCTTCACAACTGATCTTGTGTTAGCAAAAATGAGTTGGATGCTTATTTCGCTTTTTTTACGCGTTTTGTTTTTCAGAATCGTAAATCCTATCTGGGGAGGATATCAGAAGGAATGGTCCGATCTCTATCATCTTTATAACAGATCTTGTGTTGATGGAAATATTGAGCTGTGCCAAGACTGAATGGAATCGGATGTTCATTACGCATTTTATCAGCTTCATGGATATTCAAAATTTTGACCCTTTGTGTGGGAGGTACCAGAAGGAGAGGAACAATATATTCCATCTTCACAGCAGATCTTGTGTCGATAGAAATTTTGAGATGTACCAAGACTGAATGGAATCGGATGTTCATTTTGCATTTTATTAGCTTCATGGATATTAAAAATTTTAACCCTTTGTGGGTCAGGTACCAGAAGGAGTGGACCGATGCATTCCATATTCACAGCAGATCTAGTGTTAGTAGAAATAATGGGATGTGTGAAATATGAAGAGAACCGGATGCTTATTTCCGATTTTATAACCATATTGGTCACTCAAAACTTTGACGCTTTGTGCAGGAGGTACCAGAAGGAATGGTCCGATCTCTACCATCTTTATAACAGATGCAGTGTTGATGGAAATATTGAGATGTTCCAAGTCTGAATGGAATCGAATGTTCATTTCGCATTTTATGAGCTTCGTGCATATTCAAAATTTTAATCCTTTGTGGGGGAGGTACCAAAAGGAGTGCGTCGATACATCCCATCTTCCCACCAGACCTTGAATTAATAAAAATATTGTAATGTGTGTAATTTGAAGACAATCGGACTCTTACATCGCATTTTATGGGAATTACAATTAGTCAAATTTTAAACCTTTGTGAGGAAGGTACTTGATGCACCGACCTTGTCCATTTTCGCACCTGACGAAGCACTAATGGAAATATTTGGATTTGATTTGAAGATGGCGCAAAATTGGATCATCCTGTATCTTTCTGTGCAGTAAAATATTGTTTTTTGAAAATTTCGAACTTTTGTGGGGGAGGTACCACAAGGAGTGGACCGATATTGCCCATCTACGGACTCTATCTAAGTTTGATAAAAATAATACGAGGTACCTCGTTTGGCTCAAAACGGATACTCCCTTCGAGAGTTATCGTGTGCACACCAGGCAGCCGGACAGACGGACGGGCGAGGGGAAATCGCTAGTTCAACTCCAAATGTCCTGAAATGGATTTAGTCCAAAGAGACCTAGGGTCCAATACCCTTATTTCGTTGAGGCAAGTTTTGGCCGAGTCAAATAATATATACCCTCTCTAGCCATACGACTGAGGGTATAAAAAGAGTATTTTTTTACCCTTTCTATTTTTAAAAATTTCTAAGCGGAAACAAATTATTAAATTTAATTTAGCCAACTACCGAATTAAATCACAATCATACATTTATATGTATATAGGTTAAATTTACAAATCCCCTATGTTTTTGTATGTCAAACACATGTCTTCAATTAGCAATTGTTTTTGTTGCTGATCGCTTATTTTTAACCACCAATTTTATTGTTGTTTTCAATTGTTTTTTTTTTTTCTCTCTTTTTATATTCCAGACAAACAATACGTGAAACCTGGGGCAATACCACGGAATTCAATTATCCCATGTTTGCAAAACTCCACTCCCATTTGAGCGATAAATATTTGCAACCGAAAAAGCAGCGACTGAAATTATATCGGGAATTTCTGAAGCTAAATGGAAACGTAAGAAGATATCACTGATTGGACTGATTATTGTTAATGGAATATTTGCTAGCTTCTGTTTTTTCGAATGACTACCGAAAAATTTAATTTGATTGGCTGTCGTGAAGGGGATTCACTTGGCCACTGTGTGAAGTAACTGAGTCATCAAAAAAGTCACGGAAGTCGATAGGAGAATTCTGGTTTGCCTTTAATATTACACTTCGGCGACCAATTTTTTTGCTGGGTCAGAGTAGTAATCTGATGCAGTTTATGATACCATAAATCAATATATTGTGAATGTGATATAATTGGAGTACATACCACCACCATACATTGCAGTTGAAAAACGTGGTCTGGCAATCCAAGGTAGTTTTGACCCAATTTACGTTCAGGATGCTTATCTTATCAGAATAGACTTAGTAGTATTCGTATTGTTGCAATCGCTGATGTCATAAATCTTTACAGTGTGAACACCGTCCACAGTGTCTATCTGGCTCGCTATTCAATGCAGCTGAAGAGCGAATGGAAGATTAGGGCAAATTCGTATTGGACGTGGATTTATGAGAATTACAATCAAATATTGCCTACCAAACTATACCAAACACTCTTAAAGATGGCTACATATGAGGGCCAAAAATCGGAATACATCCAAACACGAATAGAAGATTAAGGCAAACTTGTATTGAGCGCGAATTTATGAAAATTACAGTCTAATATTACCTACCAAACTATGTCAAAAACTCCTGAATGCCATAATCCGGTACATACATTCATTTCAATTGAGGAATGTCGGCGGCCTATGCACGCCAGGTTAGTTTTGTCCCAATTACAGTTTTATCAGATAATATTAATAACTTTCATATTGTTTCAATCAGTATAAACACCTTTCTCAGAGTCCACCTCCATCGCCATTTATTACAGCTAAAGAACGTCGGACTAGGCAAACCAAAGAAATTCGCATTGGACGAATTGGATATTGATATTGTTTTAATCACCGTTGTTATAAATCTCTACAGTATAAACACCGTCCTCAGAGTCCACCTCGTTCCCCGTCTATTGCAGCTATAGAATATCGGCTGCCTGGGCAAACCAGGGAAATTCGTATTAGATGAACGCCAGGGTTTTGACCCAATTACAATCTTATCAGACAGGTCTTAATGATATCCATATTGTTTCAATCGCCGTTGTTATAAATATCTACAGTCTGCAAGTCCACCTCGTTCGACATCTATTGCAGCTAAAGAACGTCGGCTGCCTAGGCAATCAAAATGTTTAAAATCTCAGTCCTGTAGTGCCTAGAAATTATACCCAAACTCGCTTCTGAAGATGTATGGCTATATTTGAATATCGTAATCAGAGGTCTAGCTGGACAATGTAGGGTAGTCCGACCCAATTACATTTAGTATACTTAAGAGCGAGAGAGCTTATAAATTACAATCTTATCAGACAGATCTCAGTAGAATTCATATTGATACAATTGTCGATGTCATAAATCACCCTTGTATCGACACCATCCTCAGAGTCCACCTCTCCATCCATTACACCTAAAGAACGTCGGCTGTCTTGGTAAAACAGGTTATTTTTGGTATAATCCTTATTGGACGTGGATTAAAGAAAATGTTCAAAATCTCAGATCTGTATTGTCTGCCAAATTATGCCTAGACTCACTTTTCAAGATCTACGGCAACATGGCTTGGTTTAGTTCAAGGAAGTCGGCAACTGCTTCAGACGTACATTTTTGGTGCATTGTGCTCATCATGGGAAGAACAAAAATTTTGGTGATTCTAGAGATTTTGAAGCGAGAAAGGGAAGAAAGGGTTTTATAGAGAATTTCTCCCTATTGGGTGCAGATTGGTGAAAATATTCAAAATCAGAGTCCAATATTGTTGCCAAACCATACCAGAACTCAATCCTGAAGATGAAGGAATACATGGATTGGTCTGGTTTGAAGGATGCACAGTTACACGAGAGTCGGGTAATGCTTTACATAGAGACCTCTGACCCATTGTGTTCATCCTAGGCAGAATAAAGTTGTTTGGTGAAGAGATGTAGAAACGAGAAAGAGAAGAATGGGTTTTATAGAGAGAAGTGGTCGCAGATTGGCGAAAATGTTCAAAATAGAGTCAATCCTAAAGATGAAGGGTTGCATGGCTTTGTTTGGTTTAAATGGTGCACAGTTACACGGGAGTCGGAAAATGCTTTACACGGAGACCTTTGGCCCATTTTGTTCATCCTAGGAAGGATTGTGTTGTTGGCGATAGGAGAGATGTTGAAGCGAAAGGATTTGTAGAGAGAAGGGACATTAGCAGGGTAGTCTGTCTAGCCAAGGAATGCTTTTTTTGAAGGGACATTAGCAGGGTAGTCTGTCTAGCCAAGGAAGGCTTTTAGTAAATTTTGTAGATGATTATGGAATCTATGTCTGAGAAGGACATTAAAGTTTCCATCTCCCACCTACTAGATAGTCCATGTCCCTAACAAGATAACCTGGAGCACATACATAGCAGGTGTCAAATCGTCTCTACCTCTTCTTCATCTTCACATTGTCTACAGTAGTCAGGAAAACTTTTATTCCTTTTTTCAGACCTACTGTGAAGTCTGGCTACATAAGAACCCAAAGGGTTGGTCCCAGCCTCTTATCAATTAGCTGGTTTTTCGAATCATTTTCACACCCTTTTGGTGTGAATCTACTTCGGTCTTGCCTAGATCTTCAGTCCGCATAGAAGTTAATGGCTTATGAAGCAATTCCTCTCTATGATTCTTAAGGTCCCGCCGACTATTTTAATATTTCTCTCCTTTAACTCACGAAGAAAACTTCGCTTTAGTTTTTCTGGGTTCTTCAGAAGTCAGAGTCACTGAGCCATTATCACTCGGACAAACCTCTTCTCTTCCCTCTGGAAACAGCAGAAACAAAAGTCGACATAGCAGACCCTTTTTCCATTGATGCTTTGTCGACATCTTTTAACATTTTTTTAAACCTTCTAAATTACATCCTCCGCCGCACAAAACCCTGCCCCTCTTTAATCACTTCCTCTCTATGATTTTTAAGGTCACACAGCCTATTTTAATCGTACTCTTCTTCCAAAAGGAGTACTGCCTTTACAGGAAGTGATGTCTGGTCCCTGAGAAGTCAGCATCACTGGGCCATTATCCCTCGGACAAACCTCTTCTATTCCCTCGGGAAACAGCAGAAACAAAAGTCGACATTGCAACCTCTTTTTCATCGATGCTTTGCCGAGTTCTTTTTCTCATTTTTCTGAACCCTTCTAAACTCTATCCTCCATCGCACAAAACACTGCCACTCTTTAATCACTTCCTTTCTATGATTTTTAAGGTCCCACTGTCTATTTTAATCGTACTCTTCTTCCAGAAGGAGTACTGCCTTTACAGGAAGTACTGTCAGGTCCCTGAGAAGTCAGCGCCATTGAGCCATTATTATTTGGAAAAACCTCTTCTCTTCCCTCTGGAAACAGCAGAAACAGTAGTGGACATTGCAGCCTTTCATCGATGCTTTGTCGAGTTCTTTTCCAAATTTTTTGAAGTATGGAATTTATCTTCTGCTGTACCTCTTTAATTATTTCTTTACTGGTACCCTTCATTCGCTCAGGAAAACCAGACTTGCTTTGTGAGACTACTTTTAGGTCCCTAAGAACACTCTCTTTTTTCTTTTTTATGAACCCTGCCAAACCTATCTCACTCACTCGAGAAGATCTTTGGCTGCAGCCGGAAAGAAACTGAATTGTTTGATGTTGATTAAAAAATGTTCTCTATATTTTGTTCACTTTCAGCAAACCGCAACCGTGGACTCAGTCACAATACCCGTTCGCATTCTATTCTTATTGGGTCAGAGTAAACAGGATTTCTCTCAGCACACCAACGCAGAGGCTGGAACAGCCGCCAACATGGCCGGCCGCAGCAGCAGCACAACTGGTGCTATTTTTAATGGCAATGAAACCCAGACTCGTTTGCGACAAGAAGCCGAACAATACGATGATATTATACAAGAACAATTTGTGGATTCGTATAATAATCTAACCATCAAATCTGTGATGGCCTTGAAATGGATAAAGGAGCGCAAATGTTTCAAACAGGCTGCCTTCTTTATGAAGGTCGACGATGATACGTTTGTGAATGTGCCGAATTTATTACATTTCCTGCTGGGTGGTACGGTGCCATTGTACAATGAAACACTGGATTATTATGACAGCAATTCCTATCAAACTTTGTCGGATTTGAATCGTTTAAATGCTACCGTCAACTATATGGTGGGCTATATGTTTTGCCGGGCTCCCGTGCTGTCGAATGTCAAAAGTAAATGGTATATGCCATATTATATGTATCCCCAGGATATGTATCCACATTATCTGTCCGGTTCAGGGTATCTTATGTCCATGGATGTGGTGCCGAAATTGTATAAAGCTGCGCTAAATACATCCTTGATCTATTTGGAGGATGTCTATGTGACGGGCATGTGTGCCGAAAAGGCCCATCTGAAGAGACATCATCATCCTCTGTTCAACTATGCTAAATCGAAACATATGTGCACCTACAAGGGCATGATCTCAATGCACAAACTGAGGGTAGAAGATATGTACGCCTCGTATAATTTTGTAACAAATCTAACATATCAATGCCCGCCACCGGGTAAATATTTCAAGCGTATACGACTGCGCAGATTGAATGGCTGTGGTTAATGGAAATTAACAAATAAAAAAAATATGATTGAATATTAAGTTAAGTTTATGTCCATAGAACACACATATACATACATACAAACATATGTGCAGACATTATATGCACACATACAAAAGCACATTATTTTGCACAAAGACTCAGTACGTTGTAAGACTTGAAATTTTCGATTTAAGTTTAGATAGCTATTATTAATATTATTATTAAGTTTCTTTGATTTGTATGGCCTGGCTGCTACAGCTCAGTGATGCAGTGGAAATTGGGGGAAGCGGAATGGAATATACAACCAGGGCTTTATGTGTGAGCATGGAAATAGGCCTCGGCTTATCCACAATATTTACCTTAAGATAGTTGTGTTAAATTTATAACTAAATGCCAGTATTTTATGTTAATTTATATAGCGGAATGTTTGTTCACATTATAGCACCAGCAAGGTCGGAGTGAAGTCCAAAGGGATGGAGGGGAGGAAATGTAGAATTTTAGAATATTTTTTCGATACATTTAGAACAACTAAAGTGGGGATCAATGTCTTGCAATTTTTTATTGTTTAGATAAGGTACTAAACCCCTTCATGTCTCTTAGAATTGTTAATTTTTAGAAACTGTTCTGTTCATATTCAAACCAATATCTGGGAAAAATTTATATTTAGACATTGTCAAAGGCAAAGTCTTAGAGAAGGCCAAAGGGATGGAGGGGTGGAGAAGAAGAATTTTTAAATATTTTTTCGATACATTTAGAACAACTAAGGATGGGATCAATGTCTCACAATTTTTCATGTCTCTTAGGAGATGTTTTCATTGGAATTGTTAATTTTTAGAAACTGTTCTACGGCCCTAATTTTTTTCTCATAAGGGATTTTTTTCATATCTAAACAAATATCTGGTAACATTTTAAATATACATAGAAACATAGAAATATTTTTTGGTTACATTTCGAACAACAAAGAAGGGGATCAATAATCAATAGCAATTGTTAATATTTAGACAATATCCAAGACTCCTTCATGTCTCATAGGATATATTTTCATTGGAATTGTTAATTTTTAGAAACTTTTTTAGACCCCTTCATTTTTTTCTTAGGGAATTTTTTCATATCCAAACAAATATCTGGGAAAAATTTATATTTAGACATCGTCATATGCAAAGTCCTAAAAAAGGCCAAAGTGATGGGAGGGAAGGAGACGAAGAATTTTTAAATATATATATTTTTTTGATACATTTAGAACTTTCATGACCCCTGATTTTTTCTCTCAAAGAATTTTTTCATATCCAAACAAATATCTGGGAAAAATTTCATGTTTAGAGATTGTCATAGGCAAAGTCCTAGAAATGGCCAAAGGGCTAGAGGGAAGGAGACGAAGAATTTTTTAATACTTTTTCGATACATTTAGAACAACTAAAGAGGGGATCAATGTCTCGGAATTTTTAATGTTTAGACAATGTGCATGTTGTCTCTAAAGATATGTTTTCATTGGAATTGTAAATTTTTGGAAACTGTTCTACGCCCCTAATTTTTTCTCCTAAGGAATCTTTTCATATCCAAACAAATATCTGGGAAAATTTTATATTTAGACATTGTCAGAGGCAAAGTCCTAGAGAAGGCTAGAGGGATGGAGGGGAGGAGACGAAGAATTTTTAAATATTTTTTTTTTTGATACATTTAGAACAACTAAGAGAGGAGATCGATGTCTCGGAATTTTAAATTTTTAGGCAATATCCTAAACCCCTTCATGTTGTCTTCAAAGATATGTTTTCATTGTAATTGTTAATTTTTAGAAACTGTTCTGCACCCCTGATTTTTTCTCTCAAAGAATTTTTTCATATCCAAACATATATCCGGGAAAATTCTATTTTTAAACATTGTCATATGCAAAATCCTAGAAATAGCCAAAGGGATGGAGGGGAGGAGACGAAGAATTTTTAATTTTTTTTTGATACATTTAGAACAATTAAGGAGGGGATCGATGTCTCGGAATTTTCAATTTTTAGGCAATATCCTAAGCCTCTTCATGTTGTCTCCAAAGATATGTTTTCATTGGAATTGTTCATGTTTAGAAACTGTTCTAGACCCCTGATTTTTTTCTCTTAAGGGATTTTTTTCATATACAAAGGAATATCCAAAGTCCCAGAGAAGGTTAAAGGGATGGAGGGGAGTAGACGAAGAAATTTTAAATATCTGAGAAAATTTTTTATTTAGACATTGTCATAGACTGCCGTTTTTCTTTTGTTTTACGGAATGCTGCTTTCATATACCCAAAAATAAATACCAACACCATGGAGAAGCTTTACAATTCTGTTTGTGGATTTTACTTCCTCTAAGGCGTAAGGCAGTTCTATCACCTAAGAAGCCAGGAACGAGGCCAAGAAAATAAAGGGTTCAGAAAGTCAATTTCATAGATAGATTAAACGACTAAATAGGACGGCAAACATCTCGAAATTTTTTTATGTTCAGGTCATGCCCTAGAATGTTGTCTGTTGCGGGATGTTTTATATCCAAAGAAATATCTGAAAAAACATTTATATTTAGACATTGTCATAGACTCCCTATTTTTAGGAGGATGTTTCATTTTTCCAAAAATTAAATCTATCTATTTCGCCTCTTTGGAGCAATCAGGCAGAGCGTAACCTCACCTTCCCATTTCTGTTTGTGGATTATATTTGTTTTTTCCGAAATTACTTCCTCCAAGGCGTATCACCTAAAAAGCCAGGGACCAGGCCAAGGGAAGAAAATGATGAGATGACCAATTTATAGATAGCTTGAACGATCAATATCTCGAAATTTTGTTATGTACAGGTGTATTGATTTTTTTTGACATTGTCATATACTCCCTGTTTTTTTTTTTTTTTTTTTTTTTTGAGAATGTTTTGATGTATTTTGACTCTTTAAAGTAATCAGGGAGAGCGTTTCCTCAACTTCTCATTTCTGTTTGTGGATTTTATTTGATTTATTTTCCAAAATTACTTGCTCCGAGGCGTATGACAGTTCAGTCACCTGAGAAGCCAGGGACCAGGCCAAGGGAAGAAAGGGATGAGAAGGCCAATTTATAGATATATAGAACGACTAAAAAAGGCGGTCAATATCTCGAAATTTGTTATGTTCAGGTAATGCCCTAGAATGTTGTTTCTTACGGGATGTTTTTATATCCCAATCTATTTTGATAATGCCCCAGAGTTGCTAATTTTGTCATCTGACGGGATGTTTTCATATTCCAACAATATTCTGAAATTTTTTTTATTTAGCCATAGCCCTAAACTCCTTTATTTCTCTCTCTTTTTGTCGGGAAGTTTTCATAACCCTACCAATGCCAACGTTATGTATTTTGTCCGTTGGGGCCAACCGGGGTAATCGAAAACTCGCGTTTTTTTATTTATTTATTTTTTTGAGATAGTTTTTGCACATTTTGATGGAAAAAAATCCTTAAAACACCGTCTCCCAAAATGACTTCTTCCATGCATTCCGCTAACAAATGAGGGCAATATCTTGCAATTTTAAAAGTATAGATAATACCCCAAAATTCCTAATGTCCTAGTAAAATCGCCTTATAGGGTTGTTTTCATATTGCAATATTCTGAAAATTTTAATATTTAGGCTCCTCCTTCATTTGGTTTTTTTTTCGGGAAGTTTTCATAACCCAACGTTATGTATTTTGTCCGTTGGGGCCAAGCCGGCCGATCAGAACCTCGCCTTTTTGATTTTTCTTTTGAGGAAAGGATTTTCAAATTTCGATAAAAAAATATCATTAAGACCCCATCCCCTACAATGACTTCTTCCATGCCATGCATTCCGATAACAAATATGCAGTCAATATCTCGGAATTTTTAATGTATACATAATGTCCCAGAGTTCCTAATTTTACATTCTTACGGAATGTTTTCATATTCCAATATTCTGAAATTTTTATTATTTAGCCAATTCCCAGAATCCTTCATTTCCTCCTTCATGTAAAAACTATATATGTCCCAGAGTTCCTAATTTTGTCATCTTACGGAATGTTTTCATATTCCAATATTCTGAAATTTTTAATATTTATTTAGACGCCTTTATTTCCTCCTTCATGTAAAAACTATATATTTTGTGCGTTGGGACCAACCCGGGTGATCAAAACCTCGCCTTTTTCATTTCCATGAAAAAATAAGACTCCCTTCTCACAAAATGACTTCCCCCATGCCATGCATTCCGCTAACAAAAAAAATTATTCATATATTTTTAATTTTTTTTAGAACAATCCAATTTTGTTAGAAATTTACAATTTTGTATCAAGTATTGTATGTAGTATTCCTTTTTCGAATCATTACCATTTGTAGTATATATAGAAATGTCATGCTCATCCTAGCTACCTACCTTTATATATGTATCATTAATATTATCATTGCTCACAACAATTTGGTGCTCATTTGGACATTTTGAAAATTATTATATTGTTGTTGTAAATAAATAGCTATTTGATTTTATATTATTTATTTTAAAAGAAGAAAATTAAAAGAAATTCAAAAATTAAATTCAATTTTTGTTCTATTTTTTCTAAAGGTTGAAATCTATACAAAAAGGCAATCAAAAATCATGTTCCAAAATTTTGCAAAAAAAAAATGAATTTACTAAAAATTACATCTAATGTAATTAAGCATAGAACTATTTATTTGTATCTATATCCCCCACCATAAAATAGACGAGGGTATATTAAATTTGTCATTCCATTTGTAACACCTCAAAATATTCGTCGGAGACATCATAAAGTATAGGGACCGTTTTTTCCTACATCAATTGTATTTGTCTATCGCCCACCATAAAATTGAGCCCAATAGGGCTCGTCCTTGGGCCAAATAAATGATTTGTGTAAAAAATTATTCCGACTCAGAAGAAATTCTATGGATATCCTCAAAAGGAACTATGGGTCTATTTCGTTTCCTTCTGCATGTTACAAACACATGCACAAAGAAATAATACCCTGTACCACAGTGTGGTGTAGGGTATAATGAGCAAGGAGTAGCCGTTACGTTATCGGGCCATGTTGATCGAGCTTTTTTTCACAAAAATTGAAGTGGGGACATTGGCAACATTTGGTTTCAACTGGATGGCGCTACGACAAAGTGAAAAAGCTGAAGCCACAAGAATTTCCAAAAAAATTTTTTTTTGATAGCCCTATATTTTTTTTTCAAATAAAAATTAAAATTGCACAAATCTTTTGCTCAGAAACTCATAATGAAATTAGGTTTAGAATATTTCTCCCCTTGTCACTTTGCCAAAAAAATGAAGTTTCAAGGGAGATTTTGATTTAGATTGGATTAGAAATGACTTAGATTGGATTGAAATTAGCAGAAAAAGCGTAAACACATAATTTTCATTTTTAATAAATAAATTTGGAATGTAATTTTCTTCAAAACGATAAATGGTCTATTTTGAAAAATTTATAAAAATCTGGAAAACCGATATAAAATTGATTAAAAATTTAGGATATATTTTCACGTTTTTTTTTTGTTTCAAAATTAAAACAAATATTTTCTTTATATAAATTTACAATGGAAATTTCTTTTGTTTGCTGACTTATAGTAGAATTTGATGCAGAATATTTTTGTCTTTGACATCATTCTTTCAAAATCAAGTTCTGTCCGAGATTTTTGCAAACTCCGACATGAAGTGCGGTTTTAACCCTGAAGTGTGTTTTTAATGTTTACAAATTCCTGGCGTTTAGATAAGCTTTAGACTTTTGATGTCTTCTTGAAACTATAGCGGAATTTTATGACAAATAGAATTGTAAAATATTTTGACTTGCTACGAATCCGCTTAAAGGGAGCTTTTAACCAGTTTTTTGATACTGCTCCAAAAAGACACAATTTTTCGATCAAAATAATCTTTTTTATCTGTGATATTGGCTAAGACAATATATGTCTAAACTTTAAGTATTCCAAGGAATCTTAAATCCAAAATTTCCAAAAAAATATTCAAGAGGTGGGAACTTGTCTCCTCTATTTGGGTTACTGTGGGATGTAAACTTTTCACTGCGTCGATACGCATGTCTTCTACTCCTAGCTCTACTTTCATAATTTAATAGATTTTTCCGAGGGGTTTGGTTGTACGTTTGCTTTTTTGACTGTTAATTTTAAACGTTTCTAAGTTGTTAGTCATTTTAAAAAAAAAAAGTCAAGCCTCAATTTCAAAAGGCCAATACACACATAGAGTAGAAGACACTATTCTTAGCTCTACTTTCATAATCTAGCGGAGTTTTTCCTGTAATTATGGTTACATTTTGAATTTCGTCAATCGGCCTTGTTTCGAGACATACTCAGACCTTGCACTTCCATTCAATAACTATTCAATTAAAATATTGTCAAGTGATCGATTGAAGTCTGTTGGTTTCCGTATACTCAAATGAAATACAACGACCGTTTTTATATTAAATTAAGAATTCACAAACGTTTATTAAAATCAATTATACGAGCTTAAACTAGTACGCCTTGTCAGGTTGGCTTCGTATCTTCAACTTTTTACATTTTAAAAATTCAGGGTTGTATCCGGGTTGCATGTAATCGTATATTTTCACATGTATGCAACAAAAGGTATCTACTACTACTTTTAACTTGACAATATTATTTACAAAAATTGTCTCCGAAGAATATAACGTCCATGTCGTGCTAAAAAAATAATTACTTTGGCGATTGCACCAAGCAACTTTCGTTTTGACTTCAGTTTCGGTAGTATTCGTTTATTAGGTTAGCACAAATAATCCGTAGTTTTTTTAAATATTAGAATATAATTGTAGATAGCAAACAAAATAATAATTACAAATTAGAGGGGGAAACAATTGAATGTCCAATAACACAAAAAAATTGTATACCTAAACAAGAATCCAACCCCTAAATTGGCTTAGGATTTCTCTAAAATATCTATAGGTTACATTGATGATGGATTACAAAACAAAGAAATAAATGTGGTTGTTATTTTATAATAAAAAATACATAAATTCTGCATACAATCAATACCACACCTCGAAAATAAAAGTATTATTAAAAAAATGATATATATAAAATAAAAAAATGTATAAATAAAAAGTCTTCCTAAATTCTAACAAAACAAGTTACTCGAAATCTACAACCTCACAGAAGAAAGTTTTTATGGAAGCAACCTAAGTTTATGGCAAGAAGATAAGCTCGATTTGCTTTCATGAAAATTTTCAGTGTAGGATCTCGTTTAGAAAAAAACATAATATTGATGTTAATTATAACATCTTGTTTATTTATCTATTTTAAATTAAAAAGAGAGGAATTGCTGTTCTAAATAAAATTAAATATGAAAATATTAAAAATAGAAAAATAATAAATAAAATGTTATTTTAATTATTTTTCAAAAACCTATAAAGGAATTGTATTTTCGGCATAAGTTGAGTTTAGGGGCTATGCTTGGATTGACCTGAAATTTTTACCGCAGGTAGGTATTTGTAACCTGATTACGGCAATATAATTTTTTTGTGGGGGAAATACCCGGTTACCCGGTTATTCGACCCAAAAGTTCGGATACAACATCCGGTTTATATCCGGTTCTACGTAACCGATATCAATAATATGGGTATCATTTGAAAGCTTATGAAAATATCTATCCAACAAGTGGTCATATGACGGGGCAATTGGAACCTGTTTCGGAGAAATTTAGGAAAATGTGCATTTTTGTATGAGTAATTTTTGAAAAACCCATAAAAACTCGAAAATGGACCCATTATAGGGCCTTAAAATCTGTACACAATATTATAGCTAACACTATTGCCTTTCCAAAATGGTGTCATATGTGTTGATATCTTTTGTAGTTCCGAAGATATTGACTTTTAAAGTCGTTACTTATGAAAGCAGTTTGAGTGAACCCAAGTTTTGTGTCGGGTTTAACGTTCTTGTTAATCTGCTTTGTTTTTAATTTGGTGTTGTTAGAATATTATGGATCGCGTAGTCGGTGTTGGACATATCCCAGAGGAGAAAATCTTAAGCCCCGGTCGAAGGCCGGCTACTTACAAAAATTACAATTTTTAGAAAAACTATGGATCGCGTAGCCGGTGTTGGACATACCCCAGAGGAGAAAATCTTAAGCCCCGGCCGAAGGCCGGCTACTTTCGAAAACTACAGTTTTTAGGAAACTATTGATCGCGTAGCCGGTGTTGGACATACCCCAGAGGAGAAAATCTTAAGCCCCGGCCGAAGGCCCGCTACTTACAAAAATTACAATTTTTAGAAAAACTATGGATCGCGTAGCTGGTGTTGGACATACCCTAGAGGAGAAAATCTTAAGCCCCGGCCGAAGGCCGGCTACTTACAAAAATTACAATTTTTAGAAAAACTATGGATCGCGTAGCCGTTGTTGGACATACCCTAGAGGAGAAAATCTTAAGCCCCGGCCGAAGGCCGGCTACTTACAAAATGTACAATTTTTAGAAAAACTATGGATCGCGTAGCCGGTGTTGGACATACCCCAGAGGAGAAAATCTTAAGCCCCGGCCGAAGGCCGGTTGCTTACAAAATGTACAATTTTTAGAAAAACTATGGATCGCGTAGCCGGTGTTGGACATACCCCAGAGGAGAAAATCTTAAGCCCCGGCCGAAGGCCGGTTGCTTAAAAAAGCTATAAAGGTCAAAGTCAAATGCATCTAGACTGGAGAAAAATATAATTTAATGAATTCTATCTCTTATATCCACGGAACCACAAAATATATCAACACATATGACACCATTTTGGAAAGGCAATAGTGTTAGCTATAATATAGTGTATAGATTTTAAGACCCTATAATGGGTCCGTTTTCGAGTTTTTATAGGTTTTTCAAAAAGTACTCATACAAAAATGCAAATTTTCCTAAATTTCTCCGAAACCGGTTCCAGCAACCCCGTCATATGACCACTTGTTGGATAGGTATTTTCATAAGCTTTCAAATGATACCCATTTTATTGATATCGGTTACGTAGAACCGGATACAAACCGGATGTTATATTCGAACTTTTGGGTCGAATAACCGGGTAACCGGGTATTTCCCCCACAAAAAAATTACATTGCCGTAATCAGGTTACAAATACCTACCTGCGGTAAAAATTTCAAAATGATCCGAGCATAGCCCCTAAACTCAACTTGCTCCGTATTTTCTTTTGTTTTTGTGGCAGACAGGTTTGTATAAAAGGTGATTTTAAATAAGCTGTTAAAAATATGTTTGAGTTAATGCTGGAGAATATTCTACTGCGGCAATTGGACAGGAGACTGAATATATTTATGGTGATTGAATTTAGAGAATATAATTTTCTGAGTGATTTTTTTTATTATATAAAAGTAAATTCCAACTTAAATATAAACAATTCATCGGGTTAAAGCCAAAATATAGCAATTAAAAAGTGCTGTCATTTCTAAACACTAGAACATCTTTTTGTTTGTTATAAAAGCGATACACTAGAGGTTACATCAAATAATTCTTAATACATTACATTACACATTTAAAAACAAAAAGATCGCAATAATTATGTTTTCACCGAGGTAGGTACTTTGGGCAGACCAAATTCGTCCGTTTCGATGCCGCTCTGAAAAGAGAAATAAATCGATTATTATTGGAAAATTATTTATTTGAAAAATCAATTGATTAATTAAAAACTAAAAATATAAAATAAAAAAATAAATAAAATAATTAAATAATAATTCTGAGAGAATGTCTAATCAGTTTGACCCGGCAAATCTCATGGATAATGATTCATCTATTGCAAAATAGGTGGTAAAAAAGATCTATGGATTTGTCTTTTTGAGCTAAGACTACATAATTTTATAGAAAACTCGTTTAAACTGCGCAGAGCCCTAAAAACATTTATAGAAATATTTTGTAAGCATGGAAATTTTTAGTCTCCGTAGGCCTCCTGTGTCTCTAAGGCCTAAAAATGTTTGCACATATTTTTTGATGACCTCTGATATGAGGAAACAATTTGGCTTAATCATTTATTTTGAATATTAATTGGGCAATGATTCAGAGCAAAAAAAGTCTAGTCACTTTGATACAAAAAATCTCGCAGATGAGTCCCCCATTAAAGAAGAAAGCTTAATGAAGCTTCGTATGTGCATGACAGCTTCCTTGCAATCAGGTATCAGGTCTTGAAAGCAAGAATTGTTGCCTGAAAATCGTCATTTGTCACCTTTGACTGCATCCGTCATAATGTTATATGTGGTGAAGCCTATCAAGCCAAAGAGACTTTTGAATTTTGTATTGCCCTACTCTACACAATTGTCTCTCCGAATCTGTCACAATCACATCATATCACATTTACCCACTCCTTCCACTCAAATAAAGTTAGTTTTTTGAGAATACCCAAAAGAAAATCCATTCATATACATTACCTTATTACCCGGTACCAGACTATCAGCTCCCGGCTCACGATCGGGAGCGGAAGGTGCTTTGACAACATCATCCAAATAGCTAGTATCATCATCTAGGGCAATTTCATCTCCCAAAGCAGCCAATTCAGCTTCCAGTTCATCATCATCAACCTCGGGCATGCCATAAGTACGACCCATGACCTCTTGCACGTCATCGGCTTGTTCCAACATATCGGCCATATCATCATGGATATCTTCAATCTCCTCAATATTGATTTTCTTGAATTCCTTTTGCATTTGCTTGACACCAGCCTTCATGGCCACCACAGTGGCCTGGGTATCCTTCAAGGATTGTGCAGCATAATTGGCCTGTTCCATGTTGAACGATTGATTGCGCAAGGCTTCAACTTGTTGTTCATAGCTAAAGGATATATAAAATCATTATTTATAGGAAATATAAATGCATTGAGTAGCTCTTACGCCTTCTTCTGTTTCAGCACACGCATTGCCTTTTGTTTGACAGAATTCTTGGCCGGTCCCTCACGCATCTTGGACATTTGTTCACGATATTTACGCAGTTCATTTTCCAATTTATTAACTTTTTCCTCAATGTTAGCTGCGCGTTCATCAACCTGCCAATAAATAAACAATTGAAAACAATGGAATTTTTTTCAGATTTTCTCATTGGATTTTTCTGTGCTTACCCCCTTGATGCAGTCATTAATGTTGGGTGGGGGCACCTTTTCCTTTCCTCGGCCAAACAAACGATTCATCTTATTGGCTTTTATAAAATAATTATTAAAAAGATAGTAATAAATTAATTAGAGAGTATTAATTGATTTGTTTGATTTATACACAGCCAGTTTAGAACAAAGATGACTAATTTTCTGACGTCCCAAACAACGAAGCTGAACGATTTTTTTCGACGGCGGCATATAATGGAAAAAGAGAAAACAGAAACAAATGACAACGTTGAAATCAAAGCAAAAAACAAACTTCAGTGACAAGGGTTCTATAAGACAGAACAAGTCACCCCAAGTATATTGGTCGGTTGGTGCTTGCAAAAAAAAACACTTTTAGTTGGTATTTGAACAAATATTCATTAAGAAGTCCAAGTTTGGTCAAAAATAAATATTTTTTAAAACATCCACGTTTGGTCCCAAAAACAATATTTTTTGAAAAATAATATATTTTTTAAAAATCCACGTTTAGTACCAAAAACAATACTTTTTTTAAAAAATCTACGTTTGGTCCCAAAAACAATATTTTTTGAAAAATAATATATTTTTTAAAAATCCACGTTTAGTACCAAAAACAATACTTTTTTTAAAAAATCTACGTTTGGTCCCAAAAACAATATTTTTTTTAAAAATCCACGTTTGGTACAAAAACAATATTTTTTCAAAAAATCCATATTTCTTGGCCTCTTGGTCCTAAAAAAAAACTATTTTTTAACAAATCTACGTTTATTGGCCTCTTGGTTCTTGAAAAACTATTCCTTAAAAATCCACGTTTATTTCGTCCTTGAATAAATATTCTTAAAAAATCCGCGTTTAGTTGGTCCTAAAAAAATGTTCTTTAAAAAATCCACGTTTAGTTGGACCTAAAAAATATTCTTTAAAAAATCCACGTTTAGTTGGACCTAAAAAATATTCTTTAAAAAATCCACGTTTAGTTGGCCTTTGAAAAAGTATTCTTTAAAAAATCTACGTTTAGTTGGTCTTTGAAAAAATATTCTTTAAAAAATCCACGTTTAGTTGGTCTTTAAAAAATATTCTTAAAAAAATCGACGTTTAGTTGGTCATTGAAAAAATATTTTTTAAGAAATCCACGTTTAGTTTGTGCTTGAAAAAAATATTCTTTAAAAATTCAAGTTTATTGGCCTTAAGGTCCTTGAAAAATATTTTTAAAATAATCCATATTTATTTGTTATTTGCCTTTGCCCTTATAAAAAATTAATTTCATTGGTCCATTTTTGTGACCTTTCTCATCATTAAGCTGTTTTTAAGACTGGCAATGCCGTATCACATTTTATTGTATGGCAACACCCGTATCAGAATTTCATCTTCTTTCGTATTCTCACAATTTCATATTCTTTGATTCGTTAATTCGCAGAAACTGGCATTCCTTCATTCTCTCCCATTCACAGAATTTGGCATTCTTCCTATTGTCTGACAGTTCTAAAAGTCGAAAACAAAAGAACAGCTGATAAAACCAATTGCAAACTTGTCAAATTCTGTCAAATTCAAAGTGAACACCGAACTTACTTGACACACACATAGAGCACGGTGAAAAGAAAAATAAATATTTAATATTATTTATACATATTAAACAAATATATATTCTAAAGAAATAGAAGAATAAAACGTTCGGTAATTACGAAAAAAAAAACAAATATAAAATAAATTTAAATGAAAATAGTGTAATAAAGTGCAAAGGAATTAAGGAAAATAAGCTCTCATCCCCTGTCAAGAGGAAATGAAAATGTGAAATTTGCTCAAGTGAAAAAAACAAGTGTCTTAAAATAGCAAAAAAAACCCAAGATAAATAAATATTTTTTACAAACAAAAGCAATATTTGCCAGCTCAGAGCATGTTCCATAAGTATTAGGGGAGACAAAAGTAAATTCAAGGCAGCTGAATGTCATTCGACTAAGGTTCTTCTGTTTGTTCATTACCACCACCAACCAACCAACCATCTCTTTGTTTGGAATTTCATTCTGTGACGTTTGTCGTTCGTTGGCTGTCTTCACCCACTTGTTTGTTATACATTTTATTCTCAAACAAATTAACAAAGTTCACAAAGAATCACAAATAAAGCAACTGCTGACATAGCTGGGACCACACGTAGAAGTCTACACATATCACTGAAATCACACAATGACGCAGTTACTCGCAAATTGTCGTTAGAAACCAATGGGAATTTTTGCCAAACTTTTACCTTCATTACAAATATCACAAATATACGAATAGTGCGACACACACATAGCCCACAATTTCGCTTACAAGTACCAAAAACACCCACGTACTAGCGAAAGGGGGCAACAAACACTGCACGATACACATTACTTCCGTGGCGGCTGTGTGACATCGACACGAAACGTGCAATACTACCCCTAGTTAACTGTTGTTTCGTTGGAGTTTTTGTTTTCGTCACCTCTCCACCCCTTCACTTGTTGGCTGGGCTATTATGGAAAGTTCCATGATTTTGGCTGCTCTACATGGTGATGAAACAATTTATGCAAATTTGGGAAATATTGTGGAGCCCGATGATGAAGAGATGATGGACGATGAGGCAACAACCACGGCCCATTCCATAATGCAAAACATATTGTCGACAATGGCTACAACAGTGGAGAATGCCGCCAGTTTAAGTGCGGCTGAGATGGCATCTACCACCTCCACTACTGTGGCACCAGATCATGATTCTACCGTCTCGATGAACAATTTCTATCCTGCATTGGTCCAGTGCTTTGGTATCATTATTTGTGGGTAAGTTTTGGAAAAAATTTAAATAAGTTCTTATAGACTCTTTAGAGAGTTAAATAAGGGAACAAATTTAGATAAAGTCGCCAACATCCATATGGAGCACCTTCTCTAGAAAAAATCCACACAGTAGTAATCGCAAATAAATTTTTGAAAAATGATTTAATTTTAATTAGCATTATTGTTTCTAAATCAAATTTAAGATTTTCTTCAAAGTACACATTTCAATAAGATTTTATGAGAGCTCCACCGACTTCCGTTAGACCTAATTCCATGGAGCTTCCGGGTAGATTCCGTAAAGTGGGTTCTTCATTAATTCTTCTACTATTTCTCATCATAAATATGTGGGCATTAAATGAAAGCATTTTTCCCATGAAAAAGGTCTCTCTGTTTACTTTTCCAACAGGAATTGTTTTGCTGTTTCTTTCTGAGAGAGTAAGGTAGTTGCTCTTCTCTTGTGTGAGTACATTGCAAAAGGCATAATGAAGGGATCGTTACAAAGACATGGATCAATCAGCTGATTTTTCAGAAAAGAACAATTGGTTCGCCATAGAAAGAAATCAAGCGCGCATAAATGTAGTACTTTATTAAATAAAAATAAAGATAAGGTTTGCAAATTCCAGAATAAAAATGTTCTAAAGTTGTTTGCGGACAAACGATTCACCGGAGTAAAGAAGAGTTGCAGGTGATTGACGAGAAGAAATTTACTCGGCATGAATTTGCAAAACGCCCTATGTTGCAGAAATTTGGCGAATTCTAGTAACAAAAATTTTTACAAATTACAATGTTTCATTGGAAAAAATTGAATTTGCTGAAAGTACTCTCCCCCGACTTTTCCAACGCCGTGTTTCTTGTGAGCTCATCCCTAATATTGGGCCCAAAAATTAGCTTAGGATCAAATCATTTTTACTGCATACAATTTGTATGGTAATATCTACAAGTAAGTCCTTTTTACACCCACAGCCATATGGCTACGTGCCTCATCGGAATAACGGATTTAGACCATAGGTCTCTTTGGACCAACTCCATTTCAGGACATTTGGAGTCGTACAAGTGATGTCCGTCTGTCTGTCTGGTGCGCACGATAACTCTCGAAGGGTGTATCCGATTTGGTCCAAACTTGGTAAACGTAATATTATTGTCAAACTTATATCGAATTCGGAGATGGGCAATATCGGTCCACACCTTCTGGTACCTCCCCACAGAAAAAAAGGATAATCCGATTTTGCTCCAACTTTGTGAATTATAATATTTGCACAAGTGCTAGGTCAGGTGCGAAAATGGACTATATCGGTCAACTCCATCAATTACCTCCCTCACAAAGGGTCAACATTTTGAACAATTATAACTCTTATAAAATGTGATGTAGAAGTCCGATTGCCTTCAAATAACACACATCACAATATCATTATTAACCCAAGCTCTGGTGTGAAGATGGAATATATCGGTCCACTCCTTCTGGCACCTCCCTCACAAAGGGCCAACATTTTCAACATTCATGAACCTCATAAAACGCGAAATTAACATCCGATTCCATTCAGATTTGATACATCTCATATTTCCATCAACGCAAGATCTGTTATAACGATGGTAGAGATCTACCCATACCTTCTGGTACCTCGCCCACAAAGGGTTACAGTTGTGAATAACCAAAACGGTAATAAAATCCGAAATAAGTATCCGGTTCTCCTCATATTTCACACATCCCATTATTTCTACCAACACAAGATCTGCTGTGAAGATGGGATATATCGGTCTACTCCTTCTGGTACCTCCCCCACAAAGGGTGAAAATTGGGAATACCCATAATACGTGAAATTAATATCCGATTCCATTCAGACTTTTCAAATCTCAATATTTTTATCCACACAATACCTGTTATGAAGATGGAAGTGATCGGACTATTTCTTCTTGTACCTCCCCACAAAGGGATCCAGATTTTGAACAACAAAACGCTCAAAGAAAGCGAAATAAGCATACAACTGTCATCAACTTTCACACATACAAGCATTTTTGTTAACACAAGATCTATTGTGAAGATGATATATATCTGCGAACACCTTCTAGTACCTCACCCACAAATGGTCGTCAATTTCAATATTTTTATATTTCAAAACATGCGAAACAAGTCGAATTCTGGCTCGTCGCAATTATTGTAACCTATTTATTTCGGTCCCCTATGAATTGGACAATATTGGTCCATTCCATTGGAACCTACTTCACAAATTTAATAATCTTTGCAAAAGTCAAAATATATTTGAATAATCGAACATTGGCTGAGGGTATACATCTGTCCGCAAAACCGACGGATACTTTTAACTTGTTTTTGGAACGCTTTGACCTGGTTTCATTTGAAACTTTGCAGTTTGATTTCAACAGACACACTTGTTATCTTTCCAACTTAACTGGTTCCCTGTGGTTGCTAAACGCGCCAGAATATTTGAACGTCCGTATTCTTTTCATTTCGATCAAAATTTTTTCAATTTCAAAATCAATATTTAAAGCCTTTAACGCGGTCGTCCTATCTTTCTGGATTGTCAGCCTAGAATCATAGACCTATGACATATTTTGATGGTCTTTTGCTAACTTCTACCCTAGGATGGAAAGCCTACTTCAAATTCATCCTTTGTCTATGACCAAAATATCGTTTTCGAACTTTCCTTCCATCACAAAAATGGATTTTAAAAATGCAATATTCCCTCCCCTTATGATTAGCCCTTCGTGACACAATATTACAAGCTTTTATTGTATAATCCGTTTCGCCAAATTTATTTTTAATTGTTTGTTATTATCGCACAAATAAAGAGGCGCTTTGGAAATCAAATCCATGGTGATATAATGATTGATTGCCTCGATGTGGATGAATGTATGGCAAATTCAATCGGTGAATGACTGCAAAAAAAAAAAAAAAAAAAAAAAAAAAACAAATTCTTATCTCCGTTTGTAGACACAGTGACTGAATGCATTCCTTGTCAGTTAGCAAATTGACCATGAACCTGAACAATAAACTTCATCTCTGAAGCAATTTATTGGTTTGGATATATTTATATTCCAATTATTTTTTATTTTATTTTTTTCGACCTTTTTTAAGAGAGAAAAGATTCATGCATTTTGTGATATCGGCCATATTTATAAATGCTCCTATTTCCTCCTTGTGGGAACTTTTGAGGAACTTCATAGAATCACTTTCTGAGTCGATTTATGCATTTCAGTCCGTCTGTCCGTCCATGAATTTTTTGAATTAAAAGCAGCTCGCATGTATTATCCGATGAGATAATTTTTTCCAAACATTATTTTTTGACCCAATGAAAATCTGTTCAGATTTAGCTATAGCTCCCATACAGGGTAAGATAAAAAACTGCAACAAAGTCAAACGCCATAATCTTTACTTTTTTTTAATTTTACAGAATTAAAGCAAAAAATGTCGGTAATAGCATCAAATTTTAGTATAAGTTTAGATTTGGTCGAATTGGTCACATTTGGCACGAATTATGGCCTTCAAACGGCCAACCTTGCTTTCCTAAATACTTCGGACACAAAAGACCAATGGATTGGTATCCGGAGATTTTGGTGGCCATTGTGCGCTGAACATGAATCGAGGAACCTCATTTTGTAACCATTCTTGGGTGGCGCGTGCTGAGTGCGATGATGCCCAGTCCTGTTGGAATGTTGGACAACAAATATTTTCTCATCGGAGAAAACTAAATTCGGCAGTTCACCACTTTCGGCCAAGCGTTGCAACTCTTTAGCTCTTTTGCGACTCGGGTTTCGATCGAGTCTTTTCTTTACTTTTGGAACCATTTCTGCTGATGTTGCTGTTTTCTTCCGTCCACTTCCTTGATGTCGGTCTAAGCTACCAGCATCGCGGTAACGAGTGATGGTACGAGACACAAAAGATTTATTCACATTTAAATGCTAGAGTACTCTAACGGTAGCCGCTTGTGGTTTTCCAGCCAAATATAAAGAAATCACACTATCACGCTTGTATCCCATCACGAATAACTTTTTTTCTGGAAAATTCTCACCAAAATGCTTTTGTACGCTTGTAATCAATATAATGAGCTGACACTGGAATAAGTTTAACAGCCGTCGGACGAGTGGCTTAGAAATGAGAGCAGTCTGAAATTGGTGGCAGTTTTTTCATCTCATCCTGTGTGCACTCCATAACAATGATATTTGGTACCAGATATCGGATACAGCCCAAAAATACCTCTGCCAAATTTTATCAAGTACGGTTCAGATTTGGATATAGCTCCCATATATATCTTCAACCGATTTTGGCTTAATTGTGCACCAAATGGCTAATATCAGTCCAAATTACCTGAATTTTGGTACATCCAACCGAACTCAGTCTAGCAAGCAAGTACATTAAATTTGTGGAAAATCGGTTCAGATATAGCTACAGCTCCCATACATATGTTTCATCCGATTTGGGGTTTTAAGTCCCTAACATGCGTATTAAGCACTCCACAACAGTAATATTTGGTACGAGATATTTTGTAGAGCTCGAAAATGCCTTTGCCAAATTCTATCGATATCGGTTCAGATTTAGATGTAGCTCCCATATATATCTTCAACCGTTAATTGTGTACCAAATGGTCAATATCAGTTCAAATGACCTGAATTTTAGTACATCCGAACGAATACACTCTAGAATCAAGTACATCGAATTTGGTGAAAATCGGTTCAGATATAGCTATAGCTCCCATATGTACGTTTCATCCGATTTGGTGTTTAAGTCCCTCACATTTTTAATATGCATTCGAAGCAATGATATTTGTACCAGATGTCTTATAGAGCTCGGAAAATACCTATCCAAAATTTTATCGAGATCAGCTAAGGTTTGGATATAGCTCCCATATATATCCTTATTGCGATTTACGGTTTATTGTGCAAATAATGGCTAATATCAGTCCAAATGAAGTGAATTTCGGAACGTACGTTTTCATTTGGTGGGACTCGTCTCCGATATCTATTGTTTTAATATAATCCTTCTCGAAGTGATA